TCCTGTGCAGCTCCCAGTCCAGGGCTGGGGGTCATGCCAGGGGCCGGGAGGCAGAAGAAGACTGCAGGCCTCACCTCCCATCTGCGGGGAAGGGCCCTTGGTGTGCCGCATTAATTAGGCCCCTCCAGCTCCGCGTTAGTGGGTAGAGGTGGGTTCCATCCCCTCCCCAAGTCCTGACGGGAGATCCGTTCAGTCCTCATAGCCACTGGGGGGATGTGGCCTGCGGCCCAGTGGTGAGGAGGGGACAGGCCAGGCTGGTTCAGGGCATGGGAGGGTGGGCTCATGGCCACCCAAGTGCCCTTCTCAGAGCCTCAGAACCTGTGGTCCAAACCCCCCCGGACCCTGGACCATGGGGCCCTTCACCTGGCCCCTCGACCCCCACGCTGAGCTCTGCAGGCAGCCCTGACCACCTGCCCCTCCCAGACCCTCTGCCCAGCAGCCTTTTCCCGCTCCGGCACTGAGTCAGGCAGCCTGGGTGAGCCACGATGCTCTGGCCCTGCCCGGAGGCCACAGTCAGGCTACCTGCCCCACATCAGTGAGAGGTGTGCAGTGTCTGCTGTGTGTGTACATCTGTGCATGTGTGTATATACTTGTACGTTGTGCACATCTGCTCGTCTGTGTGCCTGTCTTGTGTCTATTTGTGTCATTCCTGGTTCTATTGTGTGTGTACCTGTATCTGTCTGTGTTTTGTATGCATTTGTATATGTATCTATGTCTCGCATGTCTTTTGGTGTGTCTGTGTGTGTGCGCCTGTGTGTATCTGTGTTTGTATGTATGTCTGTTTGTGTGTGTCTGTTTGTTTGTACGTCTGTGCATGTGTGTCTGTGTGGACCCGTGGTCTGAGAACGCCGCCTGTGGGTGGAATTTGGCCCAGAGTCATGTTTGGTTTGGCCCTCGCGGTATTTTCAACATCTTGAGCCAACATTTAAAATCAGGATATTTCACATAAAAATTCAGCTTTCCAGTTTCTCTTAAAAATTCAGAAGCCCTGGCAGCCTGGGCCTGCGTTCCCAGGAGGCCACTCTCATGCCCCAGCGCCACGGCCTCCCCACTGGCTGCTTGGCGCCTTGAGGAGGACTGTGACCCCAGTGTGCACAGTGTGTGTGTGTGTGGGGGGGGGGGGGGGGGGCTTTTCCTGATTTTAAAGGTTTTACATTGATTGACATATTTATACCTTCAAGGCTGTGACTCACAATTATTTATATACTAAGGCCCAGTACACGAATTCATGTGGGTGGGTGTCTGGGGGGGGCATACCTGTGCGGGTGCACGCATGTGCACAGGGGTGCGTGGTTGCACTGTGACCATGTGGCATGTGTGGGCCACTGTGGCCAAGCGCCTCTGCACAGGGGCCTCTTCCGGCCTTGGAGGCATTGGATTCCGGCTCCTGGCTGGGCTGCCTTGCGGGATTTATTTCTGTCTGTGCCCACAAGAGGCCTGAGTAATGGGAACTTTTAAAGAAAACCAGTAAATACAGAGAAGGGCAGGCTGGCCGGGAAATGCAGCCCGACACCCTGCCCAGCCCACGGCACCCGAGGCCAGGCCTGCGCACACCCACTCCTCTATGAATCACCCACTTGTCGGTCCCAGCCCATCTGGTGGGTGAGCCCCCAACATCCTCCTCACACACACCACCTGGATGGCCCCTGAGACAATAGGCGTCTTGGAACCAACAAATGCTCAGGCCTGGCCAGGGCCTCAGGGGATGGGACCCTCCAGATGGGCCCACCCGCCAGGCTACTGGGCTCCACACCCCGGTATTCTGCCCACCCCACGTGCCCACCCCTCACATGCCCACAAGGGACGAGGCTGCCGGTGCCTGGAGGGCTGGTGCTGTCCCAGGGCTAGGAGGCACTAAGGCACTCCATTGGAGGCCAGGCCCCAAGAAGCCTGTGCCTGGAGCCGGGGCAAGGCCAGCATGGGGGGGGCCTGGGGCTGGGGTGCTGCTGTCCCCAGGACACGGCCCCACGGTGCTGGGTTCTGGGTTGACTGAGCCCCACTGTTGGGTTCATCTCTGGTATCAGCCACTTAAACGACACAGACCCCGTGGGAAAGGGGGTGGGGTGCATTGCACAAGACACTTCAGCTGCGGGAAAGCGGGCTCCACTGACCCACACAGGGCTGCCAGGGCCCCGCCAGTGTCTTGCTGCCCCCCAGTGGCCGTGAGGACAGAGGGGAAAAGGCTCATGGAGACTCCTGCCATCTCGATCGGGGGCTCTCGCTGCGCCCGGAGGACCAGGTCCCACCACTCGCTGTCCCACTGCAATGCCCAGCCGGAGAGGCCTTGAGACTGGCTGGAGGGAGGGTCTCCCACAGGCCGAGACCGCCTGGAAGACCAGCTCCTGGAAGGCAGCCCCTGGGACAGCACCCAGCACCAGAAGGCACTCAGGACACAGGACCAACAAATGCCTGGCTCTGGCAGGTGGGCAGTGCTGCGGCAGGCCTGGGCCTGGCCAGAACCCCAAGGAGAGGCACCTGAAACTGGCGAGCAGCAGCATGAACCCCAACAGGGTGGACAGGCCGGGTCCAGGGGAGCAGATTTGCCCAAACCGGTCACCTTCGCACACCTTGGCCTGCAGCCTACTGGGCTGGACACAATCTTTCCCTGGGGCTTTCCGGGCTGTGCCGCTCTCTGGCCAACTCTGCCCTCACTCACTGCGGCAGCCACACGGCTGCGGAACGTCCCAGGCCTGACACCCTCCTGAGATGACCCAGAGGCTTTCAAACAGGAGGGCGCTGGCGTGTGGGGAGGTCAGCAGGGCTGTCCTGGTGAGCTGGTAGCACTGGGCACACCAGGGCTCCGTCCACAGAGCTGGGCACTGTCACCCCTGGCCCGCTTCCTCAACCCAATGACAAAGGGGTCACTGGGGTCAGAGTCCCACCTGACCCTAACCAAGGCCAGGACTCACTGTGACCAACTGTGAACTACTGCATCTGCTCTTCACAAGACTCTTGAAATCTTACTGTATTTTTAAACACAGAAAGCATACTTTAAAAAACATTTACACACACACTGCCCTAGCAGGTTTGGCTCAGTGGACAGAGCGTCAGCCTGCAAACCAAAGGGTCCTGTGTTCAATTCCAGTCAAGGACACATACCTTGGTTGCAGGCTCCTCCCCAGCCGGGGTCCTGGTAGGGGTGTGTGCAGGAGGCAACCAATCGATGTTTCTGTCTTTCCCTCTCTCTAAAAGATGAATGAAAAATATCCTCGGGTGAGGATTAACAAAAAAAAAATTTACACAATTTATTAACATGTTTTACCGTTTTCTTTGCTCACAGAAAATATTTTTAAACTTATTTTGTTGAAACAGATTCATAGGAAGTTAAAGAGAATACAGAGCATCCTGCATACTATTCACCCAGCTTCCCCGGATGGGAGTCACAGCTTCCATACTATCTAGCTATATAAAAAGCTAATATGCTAAGTGTCCTTCCCTCCGTCCGGGTAATGACGTCACGTAGCAACGCCCGGCTTCCTCTCCCTAGCGACTGGCCTCCTTGCAGTTTCTTCAGCCCAGGAACACCACTTGCTTCATAGCCAGGTGCAAACACTTTACACTTTAACCAAATGTCTGTGAAGCGTTTTCCCGTGCCTCATCTCATTTGATCCTCACAGAGTCGTGGAGTAGATAGATAGGAGACTCGGTAGAATCCTATTTTCTTTTCGTTAGCTGAAAATGGAGCTTTAGAAAGCTTAGAAACTGGACCCGACTGAAAAGAAGTAAGAAATGGTGGACCTTGAAAATGACTTCAGGTTTTCTCACTGCGCAGAATGTAGTCAAACATTGCTTGCAGTTCAATATTTACTCTTTGTTTTCCCTGCATGTTCTACAATACAGACAGTCTTCAGGTTACATCGGACTCAATGTATGTCATTTCGTGGTTACACTGCCATCTCCATTTATTAAAAATTTCATTATTTTGACATTGTACATATGTGCTTTTTTATTATTTATCTACCACAAGTAAAGGTCAGAAATTGTTATCTTTTAATTTTTTTTTTTTTTTACTGTTTCACTTCATTACTGCTGTGTATGTGCTCCATGTGAGTGACATAGGTGCTTATGTAGGTGGGTTCCAAAAAATATATATATATATATTTGACCCTTTGTTCTCCCTGCGTGATCTACAATAATAATCTGCTTCGTGTTGATAGTTACTGCTGTGTTGCTGACAATTACCTAAAAGAGAAGTTGGGGTGCTTCACTGGGCTGGAAAAAGTTTAGCGACATCAGAAAGCAGGTTCAATTAAGCAAGTTTATTCTATATATCTAAAAGGCTAAGTTGACTTGCACATGCGTGACACACATAAAGCTCTCACTGGCACCAATCACACATGTGTGTTTCCATCTGTCATTGTCAATTGTGAGTTTGGTTGATACTTCTATTATAGAGAAAGGGCGAATAGCGATATTAAAATATTTCTTCTAATTAATTTCCTTTCAATGTGCACGAATTTGTGCACCAGGCCACCAGTAGCACAATAAATCCAGAAGCGACATGTGTGGTTCATTCCACATGATCACACGTGTGCACCTCCGCAATCCCCACTGCCATCAAAAGCTATTCCATCACCACGGAGATCTCCCTCACGCTACTCCTTCCTAGTCCTACCTTCCTAAACCTTGGCAGCCACCAATCTGTCCTTCTCTGATTCTGTCATTTCCTGACCATCACAGAGGACATCCTGTAAGACATGATCTTACTACACGTGTGTACTTTCCACTCCTCCCGAGCCGTCCCTTCAATCAGCTGCCCTGCCTTTCCCTGCCGAGTCATATTCCGTGGTGCAGATGCACCAGTTTAACCCATCAAAGGGAATTTTGGTTTTTTTTAATCCTCATCCAAGGATATATTTTTTAACGAATTTTAGAGAGAGAAGAAGGGGGAAGAGAAACATCAGTTGCCTCCCATACGCACCCTGACCGGGGATTGAACCCACAACCTTTTGGTGTATGGGATGATGCTCCAACCGAGCCATTGGGCCAGAGCTGTGGGGGTGTGTTTTCACAGAATAAAACTTAAATTGTCAAAAAAACAAAACAAAAAACACCTTAAATTGTCCACTTTGGTAGTCCTGAGTACAGAACCGGGAAGGAACACCCTGGAAGATTGCGTGCCATGTGTGAGGAACTTCTTGCCATGCTCATTTCACCCTTTTGGGGGCAATGTTTTCATTTCAAACTAAAGGCAAGGAAATCACACTGAGCCTAGATCTAGGTCTGGCAACGACTTGGCACCCTCCACTCTGTGTGTTCCTTTAAACTGACACATGGCGATGACACACCAGGTTGCTACGAGCCTCTGTGGACTCTGCTCCTGTGCTGCCGTCTGTCTGTGTGGACAGCCGATTTCTCTGCCAGGAGTATGGGTGCTGGGTTTTATGTTAAGTACACATTTAGTTTCTGAGGAAATTGCCCAAGTATTTCCCAGAGTAACTAGCGTTTACTTCCCGCCAACCATGTGTGAGGTTCTCCGCTCTCCCAGGTCCTGCCAGTATTTATCACCGACCTCACTGATGCTGTTCATACAGGTATCCGGCGTCCCCTCGTGGCTTCGATGGGCACATCCCTGATGGCCGGTGGTGCTCCGTAGCTTTCACGTGTCTGCCGCGGATATCACCTGGAAAAGTGTCCCTTCTTGTCTTTTTTCCATTTTCTGTCGGACTCTTTTCCCCTTTTTACTGTTGCGTTTTGATAATGCCTTATGATGTTCTAGTTAGGAGGCTTTTATCAGATATGCGCTCTGCAAGTATTTTCTGTCTGTAGCTTTTCTTTTCATTCTCCTCAGACTTTGTGGGAGCAAAAGCGTTTCATTTTGGTTAAGTCAAATTTCACAAAATACTTTTTATGGGTTGTGCTTTTGGTCTCATGTCTTAAGAATTCTTTGCCAAGCTTGGGGTCCTGAATGTTTTCTCCTCAAAGTTGTTATAGTTTTACATTTTACATTTAACCCTCGGACCCATGTTGACTTCTGTCAGGTCCAAGGCTTCGACTGGGGCTCCTCAGCCTATGGCTGTCCCATGGCTCCAGCACCGCGTGCTGAAGACCGAGTTTCCTCCACGAGCTCGCTTTGCAGCTGTCACACATTCGCGGCCACTTCTGACGTGCCGTTCTCTTCCACGATCTCTGTGCCTGCCTTCCACCAATCCTGTAGCTTCACAGTGAGCCTTGGGATGGTGAAAGGCCCCCCAGGCTTTAGTCTTCTGGTTCAGACTTGTTGGAGCTGTTCTAGTTCTTTTGCCTTTCCTAATGTATTTTACTTTTTTTGCTATTCCTCATGAGGACATTTTTTCTATTGAATTTTATAGAGTGGAAGGAAGAGAGACAGCGAGAGAAACATCGACGTGAGACACATGGATTGGTTGCCCACACGCGCCCTGACTGGGGCCAGAGGCAGAGCCTGTAACTGAGGTGTGTGCCCTTGACTGGAATCAAACCTGGGGCCCTTGCTGAAACCGGTTTGGCTCAGTGGATAGAGCGTCGGCCTGCGGACTGAAGGGTCCCGGGTTCGATTCCGGTCAAGGGCATGTACCTGGGTTGCGGGCACATCCCCAGTGGGAGATGTGCAGGAGGCAGCTGATCGATGTTTCACTCTCATCGATGTTTCTAACTCTCTATCTCTCTCCCTTCCTCACTGTAAAAAAATCAATAAAATATATTTAAAAAAAACAAACAAAAAAAACAACCTGGGACCCTTCAGTCCTCAGGCTGACACTCTATCCACTGCGCCAAACTGGTCAGGGCTCCTGATCCATTTTACAATAATCCTGTCTACACTTAAAGGTTTTATTGGGATTTTGATAGGAGTTGCATTAAACCTGTATATTAATTCTCCAGTAAAACCACCTGGGCTTGGAGATTTTTCAGGGGTTTTTTAATTATGAATTCAGGGTCTTTAATAGTTACAGGGCTATGCAAATGACCTCCTTCATCTGGAGTGAATTGAAGTTTATGCTTTTCAAGGAATTGGTTCATTTCATCAACCTGTCAAACTCACATGGGCATTTACTTACAATACCCCGCTTCCTGTCCTTTTGTGTCTGAGGAATCTGTAGTGATCACCTTATTTCACTCCTAATATTTATATTAATTTGTGTCTTTTTTTGTTATTACCTGTCTTGCTAGATCAGTCAATGCTGATTTCTGCAATGTCTACCTATCTTTGCTCACCATTTCTTCCTACCGCCTGTGGCAGGCCCTGCTGGCTGCCCTCCCAGCATCCTTTCTTCCTTTTCCATGGAACCTCAATTTCAATCGTGGTGGCAATGGGTCCAAGCTGACCCCTGCACGGACCCAGGCTCCTCCCTCTGCCCCACTGCGAGGGGCCCACAGAGCAGGGGGAGCCTCTCTGGCTGCCCCACGAAACACTGCAAGCCTAGCCCCACGCAGGTCTCCAGACTCTCAGACCTCTGTCCCTCCAGGGTTCTGAGATGACCGCTGCCCAAGGACTGAGCCCGGAAGGTCAGCCCATATGCTCAGCCCCACACAGGGCTTTCTCAATCAAGCATCACCTCTACACACCCTGTCTGGGACCCAAACTCAAGCACCCCAAGGACCCAGGAAATATTTGATAGATTTCTGCCACACAGAGGGGTCTGCTTATTTCTATTTATAGAAAAAAAAAGTCCACAATATATACATGTACACATACGTGCGCAGGCCACAGAGCTGCTCGGGAGGCAAGGAGCTGGCTCTCCCCATGGCGGGCTCCCCCTGATGGGGTGGGGAGCCACTGCTCTGAGGGCAAACGGGAAGTGAGGGCCAGCTCAGCCCCCACCCTGTCCAACACCTTCCTCCCAGGGGGCAGGCCTCAGTCGGAGTCGCAGGCCTCCTGTTCATTGGTGGCGTCCACTGCAGAGGCCAGGCTGTCCTCCTGGCCTTTCAGCCTCTCGCCTGGATGGACAGCAGACAGGAGGGGTGAGGGAGGCCCTGTACCTGGGCTGCCCCCGAGGGCGGGGACCCACCTCGCCAGCCTGCACTCACGGATCAGCTCGGCGATGGCCCTCTGGGTCCGCTTTTCCAGCTTCTCCAGCTTCTTGGCTACGTCTCTCTTGAGGTCCCTGCCGCAGGGAGGTGGCAGGAGGCCAGAGGCTGAAGGCTGGCCCGATGTGGCCCTGAGCCCACCTTGCCTGCAGCCCCTCAGGCGCCAGGAACCAGCCAGGACGCTCGGCCCGCTTCCTGCGCCTCCCGAACTCGGCACCTGCCATCCCTCCCAGCCCCGGGAGGCGGGGACCAGCCCTGACCCACCCACTAGTCCAGGTGTGCAAGGGGGGCGGCTCCTCTGGCCCCTCAGTCACTGCTCAGAAGCGACCGGCCCAGTGCGCTGAGTCCTGCTCCTCTTCCACCGGAGCTCCCAGAAGGCACCCACGCTGTCCCCTGGCTCTGGGTTCCCAGGACTTAGGCCCCAAGCTCATTTCATCACCTTCAAACACCTCCCTCTGGCGCTGTCCCTGACAGACTTACAGACGAGAGGAACAGGCCTACCCCTGGCCCAGGCCCGGCACCAAGCGCTCCCGCCCCTCAGTCTGCACAGGTTCTCCCCTTGCAACACTTACCAGTCCGGCTTCCGGGGTGCGAGGTTGGCCAGGTCCTGGAGAGGAAGGAGACACCTGTCAGGGCCAGAGGGGCCCCACCCCAAAGGAAGGAGGGAGGTGGACAGAGGTAGGAAAACAGGAGGAAGAATAGGAGGAAGGAGGGGTGAGGGGACGTGGGAGGTGGAGGGGAACAAAGAAGGGAAGAGAAGGGAGGAGGAAGGAGAGCGGGTGCAGGAGAAAAGGCCTCAGAGCGGCGAGAACGGGCCCTGGCCACCTGCCACTCACCACTTCCTCAATGACTGGCTCGGGCTTGGCGGCCTCCAGCTGCTCCCTCACCTTCTCTTCCACTAGAGGGCACAGACGACAAGGGGCTGGGAGAGGCTGCCACTTGCCTGGTGACAGCAGCTGCAGCCACGGCCAGGGAAGAGGGTGCAGGCAGGTCCTGGGGACCTCTCTTGTCCCCTTGGCCCCAGCCAGCCAGACGGAAGACCCTGGAAGGTGGCTCTGGAGGAAGGCGGGGGCTCCCAGGATGAAAGCCATCCGGGGCAAAGCAGGCGGCTGGCATAGTCAGAGCCAGACTTCGCCCCCAGCTGTGAACACATCCAAAGTGCGTTCTGGGCAGGGCCCAGAAGACCAGCTCTCCCCAGTCCCAGGGGCTCCAGGATTTCCTCCCATCTCACCCGGAGGTGTGCTCCCGTGCTCCCCGACAGGATGGCCACCTGGAGGCGCACTCGGCGGACCCTGGGCCTCCAGGCAGTGACCGGGGACCTGCCCTGTGGCAGACGCTGGGAGCCCTCACACCAAACCTGGGCTCTACGGGCTTCTGCCAGGCTCATCACAGGGTCCCACGTTCCCTCAGGGCCCCCGTCCTGCCTCCCCCCTCCAGCCATGGGTACTGCCCCCAAGGCAAGGGACCAGCTCCCTGTCCCTCTCCTCTGTCCTGCCTCACTGCCCCCTCCCCACAAGGTGCCACTGGACCCACCACAGTGGGGCCCAAAACACCCGGGACACATGGGAATTTCAGGGGCAAAGGAGATGAGGAAGCAGACGGGTGTGGCTGAAAAGGCAGCATTTTGCTGTTTTACAAGATAATGTATTTATTCACTTATTACTCATCGAATTGAAAGCAAAAATGAAGTTTAAAAGTCAGGGACCTGCGTGACAAGAACCCCAGCATGTCCGGTGCAGGTGGCTGGGGACAGGCCACTGCTGGCCACTGCTGGCCGATGCTCCTGGCTCCTGGCTGCTGCCCAGACTTGGAGACTGCAGCCCTCGGCGGCGGCCCTCACCCACCGCAGACCACCTCTCCCGGCCTCTGGGCCTGGCGCTGTCACACCTCCCCCTGGTGGGCGTCCGCCTGCCCTGCTCTTGCAGCACCTGCCCCCGTCGGGGCCTCTCTCTGACCTTCATGGGTCCGGGCACCACCTCTCAGCCAGAGGGTTCCTCTGAGATGTGGCCTCTTCCCTCCAAGGCCCCTGTGCAAGCAGGGCAGAGCCCAGCCTCTTCTCTGCGGTCACCAACACTGACCACGTGTGCACCTGCCAGGAAGTGGTGGGGAGGGTGCTAGAGGCCCAGCTTCCAGCCTGGCGCGGCCAGCTTCCTGTCAATGGAGGCACTGACAGTGCCCGAGCAGAGACCAGCACCTACCTGCCACGGGCTTGGCCTGGGGCACCCGCCTCCTCTTCAGGTCCTCGTCCTCGGGGACGTAGTTCCGCAGCCGGAGTTCCCTGCGCAGCAGAGACGAGCAGAGACGGTGTGAACGGGGGACAGTCTGGGTCACCGCGGACACGTGCAGGCCAGACTGACGAAGCCACAGCTGTGACTTCCCCCTTCCTCTCTGAGCGGCCCGGGAGGAGGGAGGCCGGGACAGGGGTGCTGTGGGCCGGCCCTCTGCGCCTCAGCCCCGCATCCCTCTCAGCAGCTGGCTGGCAGCTCTCCCAAGGCCCTGCCCACCCTGCAGGCTGCCATGGGAGCTGGGCTGGGGGCCTGAGCAGCTTTCACCAGCGTCTCCCGGGATTATCTTCCTCTGACAGTTACGGGAGCTGAGGGCCAGAGATGCCCCAGTTGTAGGTGGTCACACAGCAGAGCCCTGGCTGAGTTACTCCTGAAAGACAAAGCTGGTCATCGCCCACTGGCTCCCCACCTGCCTCGTCCTCAGAGCCTCCGTGCTGGGGCCACTGGTACATCGTCCCTGGACTCTGATGGCAAGATCTGGGCTGGGCGTGGCCGGTAAGGGCTGAGGGGACTGGCAGGACACCGTGGAGGGCTGGGACAGCCACGCCCACCGTGGTAGAGCCTAAGACCCCTGTGAGGGGAACCACGAGGGACCAGAGTCACACCTGGGACTGCCACACGCACGTGCCCGTCCCCGCAGACTGGGGCCCCCTGGATCGGCAGCCCCTCAGTCCCCACCCACAGAGCCTCTCCTGCAGAGGGCCCTGGGGGCTGGTGCTTAATAAGGGGCCACTGGGCTAGGACGAGGCCCTGGGCAGAGTGCCCGGCCCACCTGGCGGCCAGGGAGGACTGCAGTGTGGGTCCTCATCCTCCCCATGACCTCCTAGGGGTCTGCTGCCCTCAGGCGTCCTGGGCCTCCAGGACAGGGGGCAGTCTCCCAACAGCAGGCTCGCAGTCTCATCCACCAAACCCCTCTGTGCCAGGCCACCAAGGGCTCCCGTCTGCCCCCACCCTGGCAGACACCCTCTCCAGAGGGGAGGGCAGGTGCTGTGACCACACGGCCAGCACTGGCAGCAAGCGGTCTGGACGTGGGGCCTTCAAGTTCAATCCCTATTCACCAGTACCTGCTCCATCCCCTCTTCCAGCGCCCCTGAGACCACAGCCCAGGGCCAGGCGGAATCTTTGTGCCCTGGGGGCAGTGCCCGCCTGGCCTCTGAGGAGCAGGGACCCCAGCCCTAGCCCCCGGCCCCGCCCCTCACGCCTGCCCCAGGCCTCAGGTTAGTGGCAGATCAGGGTGCAGTGGGCGTGCCCCGCACACTGACTTCCCCTCACCACAGGGCGGGGAGAAAAGCAGAAGAGAAACTGGGTGTGGGAAACTGCAGGGATTTGTGGGAAAACACAAGCTATTTTACAAAGCCACTGTACTCAAATCAGCCTGATACTGGCACTAGACCAGGCATATAGATCAATGGAACAGAACAGAGAACCAAGAAATTGTTCCAAGCCACTATGCTGAATTAATATTTGACAAAGGAGGCAAGAACATACATTGGAGCAGAGACAGTCTCTTCAATAAATGGTGTTGGAGAGCGGCACACACCCATGCCCTCCCCTGCCCGGGCCTCAGCAGGGCAGCTGGACTGAGGGAGGACAGGGAGGTGCCAGAAGCCCCTGGGAAAACGCTCAGCAGCCCCCAGCTCCCACAGTCCCTGTGCCCCTGGAGCTGGGCACCTGCCAATCATGACACCTGTGTCCCGGTCAATGGGCAGTCCCATTCTGGGCCTCAGCTTCCGCATCTGTAAACCAGGAGGCAGGCCGTGCTGGGTCAGGTCTGTCAAGCCAGGTTCCAGGCCTCCTGCCTCACCGTGAGCGCTAATGAAGACACCGCCCCTCCCACCCACCCCACTCACAGCCAAGGGCAAGCCCCTGGGAGAGGCCCTGGGCCCAGGGTTCTGCTCAGGCCTGGCCTTTCCAATGGAGGCCTGCGGCTTGTTTAAGCCTCTCGCCCTCAGCAGACAACTTAAGAAACCTGACAACAGACACAGGAGTGGGAAGTGAGGTTCACAGTTGTGAGCATGCCAAACTCAGTTCTTCTTGTGTTACTTATTACTGTGTCCTAGAGGCCCGGTGCATGAACTCATGCGGGGTAAGGCCCCTCGGGGTGGCCTGCGGAGATCAGGCCCCAGCTTGCGTCCCCAGCCTCGCAGCCCCGCTTTGGCCTGGCGCCACCCCCTCACCTGCTCCACCATCCCCCTGCGCTCCCGCTCTCTTCGGCCATTGGGGCCAGCAGCGCCTCCACTGCCGCCCACTGCCAGCACTGCATCTCCAGCGCCCACCATGTTCCGCGCCACCCCCTGGTGGTCAGCGCACATCATAGCGAGCAGCAGAATGACCGCCAGAGGGGACAATTTGCATATTAGGCTTTTATTATTTGGATTTATATTATTTGTTTTCTTACTATTGTTATTTTATACCCTTATGACTATCTTTTAGGTAACGATGGCTGGTAATTTAACCAACCATCACCAGCAGTGGATACGGGTCCTACTCTTGCCCACTGGTGAGTTTTTAAATCTGCGGGTGGCCTTGGAGAAGTGCCAAAGCTGCAGGGACCAGAGGGGCTGCACGCCCAGCAGAAGGCGGGGTCTCCCGATGGAGGGCAACTCCTCCTCCGTGAAGAATCTGTCTACTGGCAGCAGAGCCTCCTGCAATCCCAGGGCCTGGAGAGACAGAGTCTGTGTGCAGGGCAGCCAAGGAGCAGGGCCCTGGCCACCCCAGGCTTTCATGTGATCCCCACCTGATCCCATCTTCAGAATCGGGGTGAACCTGAAACAGGAACAGAGCTGGGCATCGGCAGTCACCGGCGGATGCCGCGGGAAGAAGGGGCCGTGTGACTGGGCACTGGGAGAGGAAACCTCTCCTTCAGGCCTGAGGGGTGGGCCAGGGCGCCCGAGCTCACTGCCCACCTGCAGCTGGACCAATTCTCTCCCGAGCAGCAATTTCGACCGGTGCTGCAGGCATGTCTAAAACATGCAACACCTGAGCACTTAGGAGCACTGACCTTCTCTCCTCAGATTATCAAACAGAAAAACAACAACAGCCAACACAACAATCGCTGTCCAATGTGAATGAATAAAAACTATACCTATTTTCTGTCAGATCAATGAAAAATAATATACTTTTTGGTGTGCCACAGAATTTTAATAGTTCATGTATGTGTGCCATGAGATGAAAATGGTTGAAAATCGCTGCTCTAGAGGAAAATTAATTACCCGGAACCACAAATTATCTCCAGAACTTTTCATACCTAACATCCAGGATTCAATCAAAGCCGTGAGAAAAAATAAAGACTACATACATGGGTGATCCAAATATTGGAATGATTAGAAATGAAATGTAATATAATTAACACTAATAAAAGTTCAGGGATATAAACCACAAGATGGAGAATTTCAGCAGACAACCTGAAATGCAAAAATTAATCAAATGGGAATTCTACAGTTGAAAACATAACCAACACTAAGGACTCAATAAATGAGTTCAACAGGAGTTAGGGCGCATATAAAGAAAGGACTAGTAAACGGTAAGACAAGCCAGAAAACGTCCAGACTGAGGCACAGAGAAGTTGGAAATTACAGAAAAGAGCATGAGAGACGCATGCAACAGGATGAAAAGATCTGACATACATGTAATCACAGTCCCAGAGGCAATAAGCAGATCACGACTGAGAATTTTTACATTAATGAAAAACATCAGCCCATCGATTAGAGAAACACTGTGAACTCCAAGAAAAGACCCCCAGGCAAGTCTCTGTCCAACTACTGAACCCGAGACAGACGCTTTTTTTCCTCAAAAATATTTTGTTGATTTTTTTACAGAGAGGATCTATCAGCCTTTGTCTCATCATATCAGAACTAAGGAATCAACATGTCACCCTACATGACATGATCCTGACAAATACTGAGAAGATCAAAGGGCCCCGGAGCAGCAAGGCCGAGACACCGCACTGAGGCCGAGACACCGCACTGAGGCCGGAGCCGGGGCCGGGGGACTCTGTGAGTCTGGCTCAAGACCGACATTGCCTTGGTTTGTTACATGACTATCGTGATGGGGAGACTGGCTGCAAACAGTAATCGCACCTCCTGTTTTCAGAGTCTAGTAGAACTCTCGTGTTGTTAACAAAGAAAAGAAACGTGAAGCCCGGGGCAGAGGTCCAGCACGCCAGAGAGAAAGGCAGCTTCCCGACCGACTACCGGGCCCACCGCCCGACCAAATGGGTCTGAGTCCACACTGCGTGGCAGGCGTCTGGCCCGGCCCCTGCACCCTCTTCATGCCACAAGTCTCACCCTCAGGCCTGTCCTCTCTTCTCTCCCCGGTGCTCTCAAGGCCACTCCACCCTCACTCCCGCACACGCACCCTGCCTGCACCCTGGAGAGGCAGAATGGGGCAGCCCCGTGTGGCCTGGGGGCCAGAGGGACTGTGGTGAGAGGCGCTCCTCAGTCACCGCCCTGGACACCAGCTCCACCGGGCCATCAGCACCTGAGCCCAGAGGGCTCCCCGTCCTTGAACGTCCAGAGTAGAGACGCAGACCGTCTGCTTTAGCCTGTAGGCCCAGCACGTGGAGACACTCCCTGTCCCCAACGTAAACAAGGCCTGGAGCCCACAGAAAGGTGAGGCCACAATCCCTAACGGGACCACCACTGCTCCAGGCCTGCCCGTCCTCCCTTCAAGTCACATTAAAATGTTCAAAGCCCAAGGCTGTTTCCATGGTCACTGCCGCTGGCTGTTCACGGAGCTTGCAGGCCGAGGACAGGAATGGCCGGGGTCCCCACGTGGGGCTGATGGGACTGGCGGGCTCATTGTTCTCCATTAGACAGGGGCCAAAGGAGGAGGGGCTGCTCTCCCTCTCGGATGGGAGGCCTTCGAGGCGTCACCAGCGTGAATGTGGTTTCCTCACCTCAAGGTGGACCACACCCGCCCCACCAAGGGAAGACTGGGTGCGAAGGGCTCTGGCAGCACTGAAGGTCATGACATACAGGACCAAGACTTAACAGGCAACAGGACCCAGCCACCCTCCCCCACAGTCAGGGCCAGTCTGCTTCCCACGGTTCCCATGACACACCATCCTGAAACCAGTCCTCTCTTGATTCAGTTGCCCACATCCCGGGGCCCACTCCTGAGCAACAGGATCAGGAAAAACAGGGTGACAGCAGGTGTCTGAGCTGCTGCTTCAGCACAAATCCTGGAGCTATGGTCCAGCCCCTGCCTACGGTCCAGACCCTGCCTACGGTCCAGCCCCTGCCCACAGTCTGGCCCCTGCCCACGGTCCAGCCCTCTGCCCACAGTCTGGCCCCCTGCCCACGGGCCAGACCCCTGCCCACAGTCTGGCCCCTGCCCATGGTCCAGCCCCCTGCCCACAGTCTGGCCCCTGCCCATGGTCCAGCCCCCTACCCACGCTGGGACACCCTGGCCTGGAGCAGGAGGTGGGGAGGGAGCCGCTCTGGGAGGCACCACTGGAGTGGGGCAATGTTTGCCAAGTCAGGCTGACGTCATGATCTCGAGTGAGCACACCCTGCTTCAGACACCATCCTGGGACCCAACCCACAGAGGCGAGAGGGCCTGGCGTTTACCAGCCTAAAGGGTTTGGGCGCCAGGCCAGGGCTGGGCTGGGCCTCAGCTGGCGGGAACCTCTCTCCACGTGGAGCTGGAGAACTAGTTTTCCATCCGGAGAAGGCAGGTTGGTACCACTTTCTCCACAGGCCAGGCCAGGCCAGGATGCGACAGCCACGCCAGGGAGAGCCACTGTCCCTGAGCAGTGACTGTTCCAGCTGGGACAGACATGACCCAAAGCCAGAGGGAGGCGGCGGTTGTGGAGCCCCTTACGAAGGAGTGCCAACACCTCCCCTCTCCTCGGTCACAAGCCCGGCCTAGACCCACCTCACGCACATACCAGCCAACCTGCCATGGGGAGTGACTGAGGCTTAGAAAGCAGAGCAGCTGCATGAAGTCCTCTCTGCAGGCCAGCTTCCCAAGGGCCCAGATCAGGCAGGTGGTGGTGAACCTTTTATATCAGGGCGCTGGGCAGGTGGCTGAGCAGACAGAGGGCCTGTGGACAGAGGCAAGAGCACCTCCTTTTGAGGGAGGTGGCGGCGGAAGGGCTGGGTTAGAGAGGAGGCATGGCCGCCCTGCAGAACAAGCCACAGGAGGGCAGGTCCAGCCCAGAGAAGAAGCAGGGACCCTCTGGGGGTGGGGGCCTGTCTTTCTCAGAGTGGAGCCTGGGCCGGTCGACCTAGAGGGGCTGACTCCCCCATGGGGATTTGGTTGTATGAGGACGGGACAGGATTTATCGCAAAGGGAGCAATAAAACTTAAAATTTGGGATCTAGAGAATCCATGCAGTTCCCATCAAAATCCTTGCCATCCTTTCCGTAAATGTGAATGAGCGGGTCCTACGAGGATAAGGAAAGGCAAAGGCGTGGACAGCAGGGTCCTGAAGTCTCCTCGGCAGACGGGCAGGCGCCGGGCAGAGGCAGGTGGTGACCGCCCACACGGTGCTGAGGGGTGAGGCCAGGCGCCTGCTCCAACGACTGGAGTCCGTCTCCTCAGCCACAGCCGAGGCAGGACCTGCCCACAGCGTATCTGGGCCGACAACGGAATCTGCTAACGACGCCACGTGCTAGCTGAGGGCCATCTATCACACACGTAAGGGAAGCTCTACAGAGGGTCCTAACCACCCGTCTCTTGGTCACATGTGCTTCTTTCCACCCTCACCCACCCCCTTGCTGTTCTCCCAACTCCTGTCCCATTTGCAAAGTTAGCAGAGACCTTACACAAAAGTGAACTGCCTTTTCTGGGTGTGTCTGGAGCCCTCAGCTCTCAGGAGGCCCCAAAGTTTCCTCCTTCTGCCCAAAGCCCCAGCCCGGCCAGGGGACAGCGACAGTGATGGCGTGTGCTCCGCTCCCAGGAGGGACGCCAGTTGCTTCCCCAGCTCAGCGGAAGATATGCAGGTGGAGAGGCTCGGAGAAGCAACGCGACCGCCCAAGGACGTGGGAACACACTGGTAAACAGCCAAGCCAGGTGCAGGCACCCCTGTGAGCTTGAAATGGCCCTGGCTCCGAGATGGGCTTCTGAACGGGGCAGAGAGGGGCCTGCACCTGGGGAGGGTTCCACTTACTCTGGTGAAGGCGACATGAGGCCGTGGCATCAGGAAAGCGTGCTCCCAGGTGCCGGCCCAGCCCCTTTGGGAGCATCCTCCCCTCCTGTGCACCCCCTCAACCAAGAGCCCACGGAGCCCAGCTTTCTCAGGGCACCAAGATCTACCCCCATGTGAGCAGGAGCCTCCACAGGCCTGTGCCTGAAGGAAACAGCTCAGGGCAAAGGCCACCAAGGCCACCTGTCCACGCAGACAGGTCTGGCCCACGCACAGCTCCACAGCTGCTCGGTGGCCCCAGCTCAGGGCTGGGCAGGAAGTGCTAACAGACATGAAGCTTACCCCAGCTCACGAGGACCAACCACCCAGCCCCTCCCTGCCCCCTACACTGCTTCCGAAACCTGTCCCAGAATCTGTTGGAGGTTCCAGCTCTCATGTGCCTGCAACCACAGGGGGAGGGAGCCTTGTGTAGGCAACTTGACCAGACCCAACCAGACGACCGGTTTGGCAGAATAAGATCAATCCTGTAGGCGAGCTACTGAGGGGGACGAGAGGGCAGACAGAGCGGAGGCTGAGCTCTACAGAAAGCCGAATGTCGGGGGACAAGGAAAGGAGTGCCAGGCTGGGGCAGCTCAGAGATGACGTGTCAGGAAACACTGGGTGGCCCCAGCCCGCTGGCCCCGCTAGCTCACACCCCAGGGAGGTCTGGAGCCAGTTCTTTGGGTGCTGTAGAGCCGAGCCACGCGAGGGCTT